AGGTGAAAAAGTCAGCAAAAGGCGATTTGTAGGTTTTTTGATTAAGGGATAGGTAGCATGATGGTCATGGACCGCTTGCATGTGTATATCCAACAGTGTTTATTTACTGTGCAATATCAGGGCTGTCAAAAAGTTTTTAAGTAGCAGGCTCATAATAAAATAATAGTAGGCGGCTTTGGAACTCGCACCAAAGGATTTTGTTAGAGTCTCAGTAATGTCCCAGACCTTCCACGACATTGCACCGTTCTAATGTTTCACAGATCTAATTACTGTTTAAATATGCATTCAATGTGATTCAAACCTGGGAAAAACCTTACAGGAGTTTAAAGTTTGGAGTAAACTTTTAGTCTTCATGAAATTTTAGTTGGATCATGTTGATGAATGCAGTTGTGTAGGATATGCAGTTTCCTATTTTGATCTTCTGTCAGAATTATGAGAGAACTCTCAAATACAGATCTCATTCAAACATTATAGTTTCATTGTAATTATCATTTGTTTCTTTTCCTATAAACTTCTCATCAGGTCTACATTTTGCATGAATTTAATGTGATATATATTTGAAGCGGTTGTTGGTTTACAGTGAAGTATTTTTCACTTTGTTTTTTTTTTATGAAGTTGAGTTTCTTCTTAGTTGTTGGCTAAGGCAGTGTTGAAGTAGTGACATGCTAACATACTTTATTGTTCATTTCTCTTCAGAAAAGATTGATTGATCCTGAATCAAACAAAGTGCAGCTTCACAAACAAGATTTTTGAAGAACAAATGTGTATTCAAGCAAAGTATATGTCCCTGACAGTGTCAATAAAATTTATTAATGGAAAGATCTGGGTTTTTACTCCTTTGTAGCACTTTTGACTACTCATCACTTTTCTAACCTATATAGTAAAAAGATCATATAGTATAATCAGTATTTTTTCCAACTAACATATTTGCAATCAAAGTTCTCTTCTTTTATATATAGTATTGCCCTAATTTTAAAAATTTCATTATCTTATTCAGATCAAGCACAGTAACCATTGAAAAGAAAAAAAGAAAAAAAAAACCTGCTCGGTCATAGACGGCTTTAAAGTTTTGATATTAAAATTGCAATGAAAAGAACATGAATGCAGACACTACAGTTCATTTAGCTCATGTTCAAGCTTTTTTTATAAATTAGAAAGTCTTGCTGGAGAAGACATAATTTTGCTTTATCTTTTCGGTAAAAAAAGTAATAAAATAACTTCCAGGTGTCTAAGCAATTTCAAAGGACCCATAGTGTCTTATTTCTCCGCTGCATAGAGCTGTGAACAAAGGCCGTTCTTTCTAGTGACCCGGCTTTCATCAAAAATATTGTTGTCCTTCGTGATCGTGAAGAGTGCAAAGTTGAATCCGGTAAACCGGCCAAAACGCGAGCATCGCAGGGAACGAATCCCATAGGAATAGGTGAAAAAGGATAATAAAAAGTCTAGGCTATTCTAAAAATATCCGTATATGCATTTGCAACTCATATTAAGCCGCAATTTCACTTCTTTCCACTGGAATAAACAAACGATGAATGTATTGCCGCCATTTTGAATTTGGCAATGTCACGTGGTCGCGCGTCGACCAATCAGACAATTTTCGCCGGTGAAAGCCAAGCACAGTTGGACGGCATTGCGCATGAGCAGACCATTATTTGTAGGCAGTTATTTGCAGGTCCTGTTGTGGGCTCTCGGCCAATGAAAAGAAAGAAAAATTTTCTTCGAATGATAATAATATTTACCCGGGGAGCCCACTCGCCTTAGCGGTTTTCAGTGGGGCACTGAAAACCATTAATAACAAAATGCCAAAAAAATAAAATAAAATAAGATATATTGTAGTTTAACAATTAGATAGGGCATTATTTAAAAAGTTTTTAGCTTTGCCTTAAAGAAGGACAATGATTTGCTGTTTTAGGAGCCGATTACAGTAATCGGCTCCTTGTTTTTTTTTTTAATGTTATTGTCTAGGTTGTTCCAGACCTTAGAGGCTTGAAAAATGAAAAAAAATTGAAATTTTGCGTTTAGAATAGAAGTAGTATATGAACTTCAAATATTCATTACAGTAGAACCCCGCTTTATATAGGCACCCACATATGACGGAAACGTCGTTTATATTACAGTTTTCTTCGTCCCTGGAGAATTAAAGCCCAACATTCACTCACGTCTCGCGCTCGCCTCTGTGCGAAAAACGATTACGAAGCGCCTGAAGAGGAAGCAGTTTCGCCTCCATAGCGATGGGGAGCGAGGAAAGGCGCCTGTATTCGCAGGCTACTATCGTCTTAGAGCCTTAGCCGTTTCTGGAGGTCGTTTCAATATGTGTTCAGGGGGTCGAAATGATCATATAAAAATAGCCTGCGTAGCAAGCGTTTCCGTGCGGTTTAGGAGCAAAGAACGAGGAACGAGAGTCAAACACCGCTCGAAAAATGGCGTAAGTAGAAGAGCCACTCTCATTTTTTGGCTCTCGTTTCATTTCTCGCGCGGCCAAAACCGTGAATCCCGTTAC